TAATAATAATAATAATAATAATTTTTTTTAATAAAGGAAACGGATATCATCATCATCATTATCATCATCCTAAAGTTCATCTTTTCCGTAAAGATTTTTCTTTATGGAATTTAGTGAATTCCAAAATGTCGATCTTTCCGGTAATAAATTTTTCCTCATTTTCACTTCGTTTTTATCTATGTTAAGATAAACGGGATCATCGTTTCTATAAGGTTTCCATTCTTCGCTTATCAAATCCGATTTCGGTACCCTGAAATGATAATAATAATAATAATTATTTTATCGGTACTTTTCTTTATATCCCTAATGAAAATTTTTTCTTTTCTTTTTAGTACCCGTGCTTAGCAAAATTTGACCAAATATCTAATATAATATTTATATATTTTTCATCTGTTTCATCCAGAGCTTTTCCCTTTCGTAGAAAATCAATCGGGAATAGGTATAATAATTCGTCGGCGTGTACGGCACCTGAAATCGAAAAGTTGGTCGTGTTATCACAAATACGGAAAATTTTCCTTTTTCCTTTTTCTAGTTATTATTATTATTAATATTACCATAATCTTGCGTTTCGTCGCCAAAAGCAGAAGCAAAACTATTCGTACCCTTGTATGAGAAATAATAATAATAAATTTGTGAGTCGACGGTTTCGTTAATGAGTTTTAATGCGTGATTTGCACCGTGTAAAAACCAACCGTCGGTCCATAACTTAAAAAATTAAAATATATATATTATTATATATTAAAAATTTAATATGTTAATATAAATATATATATTGAAAACTCACGTCTGTCAATTCTTTTATGGTGTTCAAACCGATTTCTTTACCGGAAAAATAAAATTTTTTAATTTTTTCCGTTATTTTATTCACGTCCGGATATAAATTTTTATAAAATAAACTCGACGGTATTATATCGTCAAATTTTTCTTTTAATTCTTTTAATAAATTGGTATCGCTGTACGCGGCTGAAAAATAAAATCGTGTGAAAATCGCTAAAAATAATAATAATAATGATGATGATACGATGAATTTTCCATACCGGCAACTCTAATGGCACCTTCCCCACTATTGACACCCGTTATCCACGGAATGTTTGACATTTTTCCACTTTTTATCATCATTTCCGGATGATCGGGTAGAAATTTTTCACTTTCCTCACCGTATTTTTCAACAACGGGTTTAAAAGGTATCATGGGTTCCGTAAACCATTCCATGAATATCAAATCCGTACCTATGACGTCTCTCACCGGTTTTTCCCGTAAACACTCGACGATTTCTTTCGTGTTCCCGATGGGACACATTAAAGATTTGGCTAATTTAATCGTGTTGTTTCTCACGGATCCCGGTTGTCCCAATGCCCATGAACAAAATGCCGTACCTGATTGTGAAATCCCTCTGTGAAATAATCCTAGAAAACAAAAATTTTCAACTTTCTCTACCCACTCGCCCAAAATAAAATTATCGTTATTATTATTATTATTTAAAAATAAACCTTTTGTCAATGGCGACATCATGTGAAAGTGAACGCTTGCACCCCCGGCACTTTCACCGAATAATGTTATCAAATTGGGATTCCCCCCAAATTTTTCTATATTTTCTTTTATCCATTTTAATGCCTGTGCCTGATCTTTTAATCCGTAATTACCGGGTAATTCTTCATCTTCCATGCTTAAAAATCCTTTAAAAAAAAAAAATTATTTTGTTTTGTGTTTGGTACCGATCCCGTCACGTGACTTATAAAATATAAAAATACCTATGGCACCCAAACGATAATTAAACGAAACGTAAACAATTTCTTTATCCATTAAAAAATGGGGAGAATAAAATAAACTATTTCCGGATCCGCAAACCCATCCTCCACCGTGTATGAAAACCATAACCGGAAGTAAATCATCATTTTCCGTTTCATTCACCTAAAAAATGATAAATTTTTCCTACCTGATTCTCTCTCTCTCTCTCTCTCTCTCTTGATAAACAAACAAACCTTTCGAGTAAATATATTCATGTACAAACAATCTTCATCACCGTATATGTAAAAATGTTTAGGTACGAATATGTGCCTTTGAGTGCACGTCACACCATCATCATTTGTAGAATCTCGTATTCCCTCCCAAGAATCAGGTTCGACGGGTGCCTGAAAAAGAGAAATTAATTAAATCCCCTATATTTTTTTTAAAAAAAAATTTATTCTTAAAAAAATCATACACAAACCTTAAACCTTAAATCACCCAATGGCGGTTTAGCGTATGGCACTTTAAAAAAACCATAAAAATTTTTACCCGTTCTTGATTTCATTAATTTTCCTTTTAATATTCCCTGTTTTGTTGTCACGTGAGGATGTCCTTGTTCATCACCGGAAATGATTACCAATTTTAACAGAAAAACTATTATTATCATCCATATAAAATTCATATTGATAATTATATACCTGAAATTGAAACGTTATCAAAAAAAAAAAAAAATTAAAAATTTTCTTTCTTTCTTACAACTTTAACAACTTCTTTCTATACCTTTCAACACTTCGAACATGATAATAATAATAATAATATTTTTTCCCCTTCCCCTCCCCCTTTTTTTTTTTTTAATTCGCGGTACCTTTAGGTGATAATAATAATTAAAAAAATTTTTTTTTTTTTCTATAAAATCCACTGAACTTTGAATAAAAAAAAAAACTTGATTGACAGGAAATTTTTTCCTTTTTTTTTTAATAAATGCCCCCCAAAACTTTTTTTGCAATTTTCTTTTTTTCTTCAATTCAAGGCTGGCAAAAAAAAAAAAAAATATACACAATAATTATTATTAATATATGACGTTAATAAAAAAAAAAATCATACTATTAGAAATTATTCCATTAAAAATAAATAATTATTATTATTATTATTAATAATTTTTCCTTGTGGAAAATTATATATTTAAAAAACAATTATTTATGTCCTTAAATTTAATAACTTGGGGGGGGGGTTAAATTTTAACTGCAAAAAAAATTAAATTAAAAACGCAAATGCAAAACGTTTGCAAACCTGAAATCAATTTGTGAAATTTTCTCTCTCGCAAAAATAATTCGTTACAACAAACTGTATAATTTTAGAAAGAAAGACAACAACAACAACAACAACAACAACTACAACAACAACAAAATCTTTTACTAGTTAAGAAATGTTGTCATTTGCGGTTGGCCGGTTGGTCGATTATACCTGAAACAAAAATAAATTCTTTTCCTTTCTCTCTTTATCAACTTATCAATCACCACCACCACCACCACGTGTTGTTGTTTGTTGTTTTTGTTTGTTCTTCTTTTGTCCATCAGGAAAAATTAAAAAAAATTAAAAAATAAATAAATAAAATAATTTTTTTGTAAAATTTATTCGTTTAATCCCTTGGTAGAAAAAAGGAGAACTAATTTATATTATAAATAATATACATATATGTGTATGTAAGTATATGTGTAAATTAAAATTATTAATGATAATAATGATAATGATGATATGTTTTTTTTTGTTTTCCTCAAAATAAAACCACAAACAATGAATGACACGACAATAGAGCGCACACGGCAATTATTTGATTATTTATTGAATTTTAACAAAATTAAAAAAATTTTCTTTTTTTTAAAAATCTATTATCATTATTATTATTATCATCATCATCATCATCGTTTATTTTTATACAATTAAAAGTCGAAACACTTTCGTCACCGACCTTGTTCAGAACAAAAACAAACAAAGGTTCGCGAGACACCAAAAAAAAAAAAAAATTAATTAAATCCCAATCGAATGAATTTGTTTTAATTGGAAAATATCAATAAAATGAAGGTAGTAATAATAGTAATAATAATAGTAATAATAATAATAGCGATAATAATAATAATTTTGACGATTGGTGATTGTTATTGCATCGCCTTCATCAATGCACCATGATGCACAATCAATTTTTTTGCTCGCCAATTAAAACTATAATAAAAATAATGATAATAATAATGATAATAAGAAATAAAAAACTTCAAAATGAAAGCACGTTCAAATTAATAATAATAATAATAATAATAAAAAATTTAATAAAATTAATCGATCGATCGATCGATCAATCGATCAAATCGATAAATTTTTGTTTTTAATTGATTTCGTATAGAAATAATCGAGAGAATCGTAATTAAATAAATAAATATCCTTAGATTTTTTTTGCTTTTTTTTTTTGTACTTTTTCGATTCGTAAAATCCTTCCTCCCTTTTCCCTCCCTCCTTCCCCCTCCCCTCTCTCTCTCCCACTCCCTTAATCCCTCCCCCTCCGCCCTCTTAAAAAATAAAAATAAAAACTAAATTAAAAAAAAGGCGCTTTCATTTATTCGTTTTTTTTTCCCTTTCTTTTTCTTTTTTTTTTTTTTTTCTATGTACATAATGCCCAATAATAATAATAATAATAATAATAATAATGATAATCAAACGTAATTAAACATTTTTAATATAAAATTTAAACATGGCGTCGTAAAAAGCGAACAAAAAAAAAATGAAATATGCGAGCAAAACCGTCGGTAATATTTCAAATATCCAATCAATACCTACTATCTATATCTATATATGTGTTTTGTTTTGTTTGTTTTCCACGTGTTTGTTTGTTTGTTTGTTTGTCTATCTCTTTCTATCACCGATTACAAATAATTACAAACGGACTTTACAAAAGCAAAATTTTCAAAAACGCGTTCACGTCACGTCACGACTCAAAAAAATGGACAAATTTTGTAAAATCTCTACCGTTTGTCTACGACCTAGACAAACAACCAAACAACCAAACAAACCAGTAATAATTTCATTTAAAAAAAAAAAACGAGAAAACAAAACAAAACACTTTCTTTCTTTACACCCAAAAGTTTTTTCAACAAATGACATTAAAACTAAAAAAAAAAAAAAAAATAATGTACATAATAATAATGTTTTTTGTTCCTTTTTTTTGGATTACAATCAAACAATTAAACAATCAGTCAGTCAATCAATCAATCAATCAATCAATCAATATAAAATGCAAAATTTGATTTTACTGCAAAATATCATTGTTTTCTTTTCTGATTTTCTTTTGTTTTATGTCTGAACGAGTAGGAGTAGCAGCCCGGCTTCAAATATGAAAAATTTTCCTGCTACAAACAAACAAACGGACTCTAAGAAACCGGTGTAATAAATATGATAAACATGTACACATGCGTTTATATATATTTCAATTAATTTCCATAATTTTATATTTTCCATTCAATTAAATTATTACACCGATCAACTTATTTTGCAGCAAAATCATATTATATTATTATTATTATTATTATTATTATTATTGTAATTGTTACTGATAATAATAATAATAAAACGAATTAAAAAAAAAGGAACCTAATATATTATCTACCGATTTTGACAATTTTTTTTATGTTTGTTTTTGTTTGTTTTGTTTGTTTTTCAAATTCATATCAAAAAAAAAAAAAAATTTTCTTAAAAATATTATTACCATTATTACTATTATTTCTTTCTCTCTCTCTCTCTTTCTCTCCTTCGCAAAATTATAATTAAACAATTTTTTTTTTTTTTCGAATAAAAAATAATAATAATAATAATAAACATAACTAACATTCATAAGCAGTCTTGTTTAATTTTAATTTTTTTTTTTTTTTAATTATTTTTTAATTATTTTTAAATTTTTTTTTTTATATTTTTTTCCTTTTTTATTTTTTTTTCTCTCTCTCTCTCTCTTCTATTTTTAAACCCTGACACTACTAACAGAACTTATTAAAAATTGAATAACCACCTCACGTTTACAATGTCCGTAAAAGTTAAACGATAATAATAATAATACTAATAACTTGTGTAAAAATGTTTACAACATTACAATTACATTTAAAATCATCATTATTAATATTATTTAATTTTTTTCAAATAAAAAATTTTCAGGCACATTATAAACGCAAAGCTTATTTATAACTATTATCATCATCATCATTATCATCGTAATCATTACTATTATTATTATTATACAACATTAAAAAAAGTAAATTTAAAAAATTAAAAAAAATAAAATAAAATTAATAAAATAATAGGGACGAAAAAAAAAAAAAATTAATAAAAATAATAATAAAAAATAATAATAATAATAATAAACTTATTTTTTTTTTCCCTTAGTATACATGCAACATCGTAATATTGTGTAAAATATTATTATTATTATTATTATTATTATATAAAAAGGCATTTTTTTTTTTTTTCCTAGCTCATCTAGAATTTTCTTTTTTCTTTTTTAAATTATTATTGTTTTCTATCTATCTATCTATTCATCTATCATCTACCCTTTTCATCAAAATTTTTAATACTTTATATTTTTCTCCTTTTTTTTTTTTCATATTTTTATTTCGCATAATAATAATAATAATGATAATTATTATTATTATTACATATCTGTGTAATTTAAATCGCCATAAGCAAAACATAAAAAAAAAAAAATAATGAAAAATTTTCCTTTACCCGGATTATACAATTATAATTTTTGTCATTTATATTTTTAATTTATAATTGATAATCAATCAATCGATCAATCAATCAATCATTTTTTGAATCCTCATCAAGTTCCTGTTTTTTTTCTTTACTTTGTTTACAATATTGTTAATTATTATTATTATTATTCAGTTTCACGTTTTTTTTTTTTTTTTTTAAAAAGAAAAACGGATTGATGTACATATATATATATATATAGGCGGTAAGTAGGCGAAATTATAATCAAAAATTCTGATTTTTGCCTTCAACACACATATATATTATATTCACGTGCACGCACGTGAGCGTGCGTGAATACCAGTAAAAAAAAAAAATGCGCGAGTGCGTGCGTGCAGGCGTGCGCACGTGCGCGAGCTTTGAATATGTTTTCCCCCCCCGACTTTTTCGGTTTGTTTAATTTATTCGTTCAAAAATCTCCTCTTTCTGCATGAAAGTAATTAATACTCGACTCGAGGTTATACCTTATTGAACCTTATTGATAAATAATAAAAACAAACGAAACCTTATTTTTTGTCGTAAGTACGAGCGCCAAAACATTTGACGGCTGTATGTGTGCACGCACCCACCCACGCACCAACCAGACAGATTCAATTACATGAGTTACGTTCATTCCATCGGTTATAACCAATAGAAAATTTTCTTTTCTTTTCTTTCAAGATGGAATGAATTAATGAAACCAATGACAAGAGTCATTGAGAACAACAGCAACAGCAAAAACAACAACAACACGTGTGTGCTATTCGATAATGATGATGAATTCGTTTTTCAACTTACAGACAAACAGACAGATAATATATATTATAATATTATTATTATTAATCCATAATTTTTTTGTTTTGTCTCATCGGTTCCCTAACTTTTTAACGACAGCAGTAATAAACGGACACGTGC